AGAGCCACATTATTTTAAATTTTCTGGCGATGGAAGGACGCATAACTAATGAACACATCGATACAATTTGGTGTGCTGCTCAGTTGAAACACTGTTCTCGGCAAGTTCTTGATTTGTTACCTCCTCTCATCAAAAATTTGGAAGTTTCTCCTGTTCTCCATTTATACAAATTACTGTGCAATATTGAAACAAAGGAACAAACAGAACAGGTACTCTGCATTTTATTTCTTTAGGTAAAATTTTAGCTGACATTAAGGAAACACCTTAATAATAAACTGCTTTTTGCTCTATTCTCCTTGAATATGAAATATTTCATTGTTTTTTTCGCATAATATTTAATAATATGTGTTTCTAAATCTATAATTATAATAGTTTGACATAGCTGTGTCATTAATTAATTGTTTGCTAATTAAATTTGTGTTATTTTTTATATCTTAAGCTAACTAAAAAATCTGTTATTTTGTAATACATCAGGCAAGTTGGAAAAGCCTTATTTATTTTACTCTCAGTCTGAGATTTATTACACTCAATTAGTATGTCTTTAGGCTAATTCAAAATGACTCAATCCAAAGAGTTAATCAATCAGACGGAATTTGCGGAATCAGGCGGACATTGGTGACCCGGGCGTGATGTGAACACACCTACCTTGACAGTAACGCCCACTTCAATGGATGGTCCACATTAAACAGTTGACTTCCTACTCGTGACTGCGACATTATCCACCTCCTTGCGCTGTTGCTACTTAATTTTGATCACACATTACGTAATCACTCGACTACTAAATGCAACACAGGAGCGGCCTAGACCGTGAACTTCATACAGGGTTCCCACAATCCTGATAAGTTCTTAAAAACTGATTAATTTTTATTTTGGAAAATAAGGGCCTTTAGAAGTACTTAATTTTCGTACAAGGTTATTAAAAGTCTTTAATTTCAGAAATACTTCAAGTTTTTATTCCTGAGTACTAAATAAGAATGCATGATTTGCTTCTAATAAGAAAGTCAAATCTTTGTTTGCTATTTATAGCTTGTTTTAATGTAAAATTTTTTTTAAAGTCTTAGATTGTTACGCTTTTACTCTTTAAGGATAAGCAGATTGTTACATAAATTTTTTTATCTACTCAATTAAAAGATCCAAACTTTTTGTTATTATTCTCTATTAGAATAAAATTTAAACTTGAATTTTAATAATCATTTTATTCAGTTAACATTGCAACTTAATATACTGTTTCTTCTTTTTATTCAACTTTTGATTGCTTTAAAATTAGTTCATGTTTTTTGCCAGATTGTTTAGTAATATTATGTAAAGCCCATCATAAAATTAAATACAACACATTAGCTGTTTAGTAATAATTTCAAAATGCATTAATTACATCCCATTTTCGATATGTTTTTCATAAACTGATTTAGTATTTTTTGTAAAACGTTACCCAATAACAGTTGAAAAGTACTTGAATTTCATTTTGATTTTCAAGGGCCCCTAGAAGTACTTGAAAATAATGTTAAATCCTTGAAAAATTTAAAATGACCTTGAAAAGTATCTGAAACTCTTTAAAAACCACCCCAATTTCCGCATTTCTGTGTTTAACTTCTGACGCACGTAAGTGCAAGAGAATGACTTTCCTACCTTTCTGATGATGACGCATGCTGTCCACCAGGGCTAAGGAGAATAGAAGGGCTAGATCACACCGCTCTTAGAGCTGAAGCTACGATTTCCCTCTTCATGGCGTCACTGTGTCCACAGATCTCGGAAGATCGCACGCAAGGATAATATGATAACTTTGCATATTTTTCTTTGTAAAAATAAGTTAGACTTTTTCTGGTTATTAGCTTTCAGCTTGACGTAATTAACACATTATTTCCGTTCATAAACATAGTTAAAAAAACCTCCTTGGCCATTATATTAAAAAAAATACCATTTTAAACTTATAAAAATATTTTACTAGTTTGCGAAAATGACACTATAAATACTTTATTTTAATAAGTTTATCAGTTTTAACTTTAATTATTAAGCAAAATAAAAGCATAGATCGACACTTTTTTTTTATCTACGATGCATATTCTTTTATAACAATAAGTTGAGTTAAATTTAGAATCCCTGATTTTTAAATATGCCATTAATTTGTTCATACTTAGGAAACATCAACCTTAAACGCTAATTACTGAAACAAAATAATAATTTAGGCTCATAATGACATTAGAAATTTTACAATTGCTTATAGATATTTAAATTTACGATGATATAATTTATAGATATTTAAATTTAAGAGAATATAATTTTTAAAAAAAATCATAAATATTTAGAATAACTACATTAAAAAATATGTTATGAAATTAGGAGAATTTCAACTATATACTATATATTTTATTTATACTTTTTATTTACATTTTAATTTTCTTTGACTTTATCCATTTTTTAATTCTTTTCACCTGCCTTTCTTTATGAAGTAACGAGGCGGTTTCTATTTAGATAATGAATTTTTATAAAAGTTCTTTACGACAGAATAAACGTATTGCTGTTTTATATTAACTGTGTCATTTCGGAATCCATTCTTTACATAGTTGTTCATTTACTTTAGGGAACACACGGAAAATTATGTTTTTTCCTTTTGTTTTTTTTTATCAGAAATTTTGCAAGTTGCAATCACTCAAACTGGCATTTCGATAATAGTTTTAAATGTTTGTAAATTCACTACAAAAACTGAGGAAAGTCATTATAGAAAAAAGCAAATGTCTTAGAATATGTCAAAAAAAGAAATATTTCAATATTAGTTAGAGCTATTGAGGCCGAACGCTCCGTTCTTGAAGTAAAAGTGTGAACTTTGCGCCAAACTGACGTCACTAGAGAAAATCGGAGGATTGGCGCGTCGAGGGTTTCTACAAAGGAGTAAACCAGCCCTTCTATTCTCTTTAGCCCTGGCTGTCCACGCTTATCAGTTGCTCACGTCACGATTTCCCTCTTTGGTCAACGTGGTCCTAAGCAAAAACTGGTTTGACTTAGCTCTGGGTTTGACCCTATTGTAGTCCCTGCTTTTAACTCAAAGAGAGAAATATGAGTAGTTGGACTTGGAAGGAACTTTTTCCCCCTGCCGTAGCCTCCTGGGCAGATCCGTTTTTAAGGATGGGCCCAGGCCCCGCATTGCAATGAGGCCCCTGAAGTTTATCACATTTCGTTTTTTTTAAAAAATCCTAACTGATTTGTTAAAAAAAAGTATTAGCTAGTGAGAAAGATTGAGGTGAAATAAATAATTGGTTCAGCCATGGGTCTCGTCAATAGCAACATGTTGCAAATGATGGAATAATACTTTCTTGTAGAAGGGGACTTCTAAAGATAACCCGAAACTTTATTTTTAATGGGGTGATTCGTTTTACTCATTTGCTGCCCCTGCTACACAATTTCGGGAAAGGGGATTATTATATGTTAGCCAACAACAGTAGAGCAATGCTTTATGTTTCTTCTTACTTTTGAAAAATAAAATTTTTATTTGACAGAAAATTTGAATTGTGTGTTTCAAATAATACATGCTTTCTTTAGTGTATTGACCTTACCTGCTTTTTGAGAGGCATTTTTTTTTAAAAATCTAATACAAATGAAAGTTTAAAAAACTAACTTAGTAAATTGTTATTTTTCTTTTGAATAAAAAAATATTAACAGTAATTCTATATATACTGCAAAAATTCATTCATGAAATCAAAAAAAAATTCGTAGCTACTATTTAATATATTATTATAAAAATATATTATTATTAATTAAAAAAAAATTTATTTTCTGATTACGTTTTAGTCAGTTCAGTTATGATGACGCTTAGTCAAATTGAAAGGCAAACACAAAGTGCTTACGATCAATGCTACTGAAAAAAAAATTCAAGTATGATTGCTTAATTAAAACAATTACTGGTTAATTAAAACAGTCAATTCTATATATACTGCAAAAATTTTTTCGAAATAAGAAAAATCATAGCTACCATTAAATATATTATGAAAATATATTATTGTTAATTAAAAAAAAATTTTTTTTGATGGTGTTTAATCAAGTAGAAAGGCAAACACAAAGTGCGTACGATTAATGCTACTGAAAAAAATTTAATAAATTCAAGTATGATTGGTTAATTAAAGCAGTCAAAGTGACGAAAATTGTTAGGAAGAATCTATCAGAAGATTTTAAGGTGAAAGCTGGCAACTGTTTCATTTTAAAATGACTGACCGGTAATTAATTTAAAATCCTAATTAAGCTGGGACAATTATTGATTAATTTTCTTTATTAGAGAAGTGATCAAAATTTTAAAATTCTATTTTAGAACAATTTAAATTTCACTGTCTAAATGCTTCTTCCACTTTAAATATTTAAAAATATTAAATAAAGTAGAGTAATCTGGCAGAGTTGTTTTTATATATCTCATTGATATTACAGTATTATATAGAACACTCCCCCCCCCTCCATCTTCCCTGTGACTATGTTGTAGAAGTTCAGCTTTTTTTTATTTTTGTCTGCTTTATTTGATTCTTTTTTAAATCATATTTTACCACAGACATTCAAAAATTATTTATTATATTTGTTAATGATAGTTTTGTTCTTTACATATCATTTAAGATGCATGAGTTTTCTACTAATAAATATTTTTTAATAATTTTAAGTAGTATGTTTTCTATTTTCTTTACTCTAACTGTAGATTTGTTATTATAAAAAAATTTGAGTGTACTTTGTTTTCATTTTTGTATAGATTGTTTGAAATGTTCCTCTTTTCTTCATGACTTGTCCGATTCTTTGCTTATTCAGAGATTGTATACCTAGTTTAAAATAGGCCTTATGTAAAATTCAAATCCGACATTTTTATGCATCATGAATTTTATCCTTGACTTGATGTCAATCACCCTTTGCTTTTTTTTACACTTAGATTACAGAGCAATGGAAGTTTTATTTTTCAGTACTGCTATTATCGTCTAACATTTATCCTCAACTAACTATTATCGTCAAGACATTTTGGTTTAAAATTTTAAATTTTAGTCTATCTTTTACTAAAATTTAAGTCCTTGAGAATTTTAAATAATTCTTAAAAGTACTTCAATTTTATTTTTAAAGTAGAGCATGAACCCTGGATGTGATTCTTCCGCGGATTCAAAAACTCCGATTCTCTAAAAGTTTCGGGTTTTTTAAAAAAAATTTTTTTTAATAAATATCCCGCTTTTTTTGTGAAAATTCAGTCATTGAAATAAAACAATTATATTTATTTACGATTTTCAAAGATAAACAGAAAATTCAAACTACATCCTAGCTGCTAGCCCTTCCACCTTTTACTTATTTTAGCTATTTTCTCCGATTTTACGCACAGAAGAGATTTTTTCATATTTTTATCCGTCTCCTGATAGCTTGTATTTTCGTAACTCAGACGTTGCTGCTTTCTGTTTTTTGGCGTGAACGCAAACGGGAAAAAAAATGAGGTGGATTTGCGGTGAAAATATTTATTTGATTTATATTTATTTTATTTTTTTATTTATTATGTCTAAACAAAAACAATACAAACAAGACTTTTAGAAGTCCCTAGTCCAGAGTCCACAAATATCTCGATTCTTATTCACACGATTTTAATATCAATCATCTATTTTCGTATTTACTAGATTTAAAAGTTGCCACATTTCTTTATTTACTCTTTTTTTAATACCTGAAAAATATAGCAAATCCCCCACAGTACCATCTCTCTTGCTATCTTGGATTTAATAATTTCATAATTAGTGTGTAAATGAAGGGATTTTTTTTTCTATAAATATTCGTGTTCATATTTTTACCTGCAAAATGTACATAACTTTTTGCCCAGCTGACATAGTTTTAATTAAAATGAGCAATTGAGATGTGTTATGTAATGAAATATAAAAATTGTTTGTTTCAGACACTTCTTCTTGCTTCTGCTCTAATCAAATTTATATGGTTGCATGGAAATAGTTCATCTTCTACGATGGCATCAGAATTGAGAGATCATCAAAACCCCAATAGTCCATTCTCAGTACTTGTAAAGGGATCATTACATATGGGTGAGTTGCATGCAGGCTTACATTTAAATTTTCAAAAGCTCATTATTTTTTCTGGATCCACAATAATTGTAGTGATGAAAAGTCATAAATATTTGGTGCTAAAATCTTAGCGAACTTTTATATCCATTAAAGTTTTTTCTAAAAATAATTTTATTTAAAGCTTAATTCTGGTTTTAATTGTTTTTAGGTGTAAATAGTGGAGATTTAACGAGGAAACGTGAGCCTAGTAGTAGTGAAAGGAGTGTAAGTATCGAAGCAAGCAATAGTGAAGATGAACGTAGTGATATCAGACATGTTCGTGTTGTTAATGAGGTCAGTAATAAAATAATAAATCTTGAAATATTCTCCTAATTATTATTAATATTTAATCGAGCACTGGATGTGCTTCTATAAATATAGAAAAATTACCAGTCTTCATAGCTGCCAACTCTACTGGAATTTGCCAGTTTCACATGGTCTACTGGTTTAATAAAAATTCTTCTGGTTTTTGCATACTTTAGTAAATTCCCTAAATCTGAGTAAGTTTCCCTTTAAAAAGAAAAAAACCTTTTGAAACAGAATTTTTACACAATTTATTGCTTTGCTTGAATATTTAAACAAATACACTGAAGAGCCAAAAGAACTGGTATACCTGTCTAATATCGCGTAGTTCCCCCGTGAGTACGCAGAAGTGCCGCAACACTACGTGGCATGGATTTGATCGATGTGTGAAGTAGTGCTGTAGATAATTGACACCATGAATCCTGCAGGGCTATCCATAAACCAGTGGGAGTAAGAGGGAGTGGGGATATCTTCTGAACATCACGTTGCAAGGCATCCCAAATACGTTCAATAATGTTCATGTCTTGGGATTTTGGTGGATTTCCGATACTCACATTATACTCGTGAAATGGTCGAAAGTGAAAATCAAAATTTCGTTACTATTTCGGAGATGCTATGTTCCATCTCCCGTTCACCGACTATAACACCACGTCCAAACTCAATTAAATCGTATAACCTGGCATTGTAGCAGCAGTAACCGATCTAAGAACTGTGTTAGACACTCGTTGTCTTATATACGCGTTGCCGATTGCAGCACAGTTCTTTGCTGGGCTCCATACCCCTTTATTTGCATACTCATGGGTGTACCAGTTTTTTTGGCTCTTCAGTGTATTACTAATACATGATGAAACAAGCCTCATTTCTAGTAAGCATTTATTGATTTTTATTTTTAGTTTATTATTACATCCGGATAAGTGATTATTCCAGTTTTCTGAATCGCTACAAAAAGCCGTTATTTTATTGTTAAACCCAACTAAAAAAAAAAAATATTTTCAAATAATCTTAAAAAGAAGAAAAAATGATGGTAAAGTAAGCATCTTTCAAAAAAGAAAGAGAAATCCTAAAATCTTATGAGGAAAAAATTTTTTTTACAAAATGGCGGGAAAATTTATTGACTTTCGTTCCGGTTTTCTGATTTCCGGATTACGGGTTCTGCACTGTATTTTATTTTCAATTTATTTTTATTCTAAATTCCCTTTTTAAACTAATTTAAAAAAACTTTCAACTATCAATAAATTACTTGTTTATTACTATTCAAAATTATGAGCTAAACATAATGGAAAATATTGCAGACCATTTGTAGTGTTTAGTGTAATAAACTTTTTGTATTTTGATAGCAATGAAATTCCCTATATGTAAAATATTTAGTGTATATTGCAATAGTTGTTAGGAAATTAATATTTCGTAAAATCTGCTGGATTTTTTCCTATCCAAGTTGGCAGCTATGGTTCTTAAACTTAACAATAATAGGTAGTTAATCTAGAAAAAAGGATCTTACAAATCAAAGAGTGCAGTCTCTAAAGAAGGACAAAGATTTACAGAACTTACGTGGACATAATAGTAATAAATGTATGAAGTTAAACAGAATAAGATATGCAGAAAATATTTACTATTCAGGTACAACTAGCACAACACATGAGATTTTCAACCATAAACCACTTGCTATAACATTTAAAAAAAAAAAACATTAATCAATTTGGTATTTGTTTAAAACTTAAAGAAGCAATCTAGAGAAGGCCAGAATCTATGATGATAAAGTAGACAATGTGGTTTACGTTAAAAATTAAAATACCCGTTCCAATTATTTCTTAAATAAATTTGTCTTAGATGTGGTTAAATTTATTTTAAAAAAATTAGAATTGAATTTAAGTTTTTTTTTTCAAGTCAGTTTTTTTTTCTTTTCTGAAATTGATTGAACCTTGCGAAAAATTATTAATTGATATATGTGTTATAAAAATTTATTGATTTTTTTTATATATATATGAAATATTATTTTGCCATATCACATGAAGCTTTTTAAACAAATGTGCCTATCAAAAGGTAATTAAAAACAAATTATTAGGAGTTGCTTTTGTTAATGAATGTATTCATAAAGGTGTAACTAAAGTGAAATTCTCTTATCCTGTATTCACACTTTCAACCCCTTTATATAGAGCTTAAATACAATTTTTAATAATGTGCTTGCTGACCTATATAAAAGTATCTTTGATTTTAATTAGCTAACTAAGATTCAAGTGTATGTTTCAATTTGTTTGAGTTCATTCTGAAATTCAACATACCATTTTCAAGACTAGAGTGAGGCCTTGATATCTCCTGATTAAGAGGATGCTTTACCACTTGAGAAACTTTTCGTGACAAATTCTGTTCCATTTTAAATTTAAATTATCAACAAAGTGTGTTTCGTTAAAACCAGAGTTAGCTGTATAAAGTTGCACAAGCACTGATTTTTTTTTTCTCCTTTCAATCTATGAAGATGCGAACAAATCGTGTCAGAATTACTTCTCAATATGCAATCTTGAGTAGTAATTATATCATAATTTGTTTGTGTTTTGATATTTAGAATTTTTCTTCTTCCACAATTTATAACATGGTTTATTCTGGGTTTATCTAAATTCACTCTTCCTATATACTTTAAGTTTCTAATTATTGTGAAAGAGATTTCACCCACAGTATAGCTACTGCATAGCTGCCAACTCTACAGGATTTTTCCAGTTTCTCCTAGTCTACTGGTTTAATTAAAATTCTCCTGGTTTATTTAGATTTTTTCAAATTCCCTAAAATTGAGTAAATTTCCTTAAAAAATCTCAATTGAAATAAAATTTTAGTATAGATTATTGCTTGAATATTTAAATAGGTATTACTAATACATAATGAAGCGAACCTCATTATAGAAATCAGTTCAAAATTTTTTTTCTTCTAAAATGTTCAGTTTACTTTTATTCAGAACCTCTTTTTTAAAAAAAATCTTTTAGCTATCTTTGATTAATTAAATGCCTATTAATATTCAAAATTTTGAGTAAACATTATTCATAACATTTCAAATCCATAATGCATAACATTTCAAATATGTTTAATCATAGCTGGAAAATATTGCAGTTTTTCTATTTTGATGACTCTAAAATTCCCTATGAGTGAAATAGTTAGTACATTATGCAACAATTATCATGAAATTTATATTATTTCGTAAAATCTTTCCTATCCATGGTGTAAGCTCTGCTATTGTATTTTTAATTGTTTCATTATAGATCTTATAAACTGTATTTATCCTTGTTTGAAAAAAAGTAATGCTTTAAATGTTTTACATGTGTCTTTCTAGATGAATTCTCAAGTAAGTGATCACCCTCGAAGCAGCATTGAAGGCAGCGGAGGCAGTCCACCTAGTAGTCCTTGTGATATTGAGCAGTGCAAACAATCTCCAAACAAGCCATGCCACAGGCATCAAAACGGCAGGAAGTGGCATCCGGTGTGTCCCGGTCATGTTCGACCACCCGTGTTCGTCGCGGGTGCTGTCGAGAACAGTTCGAGCGGCGAGGAGAGCGAGTTGAGCAGCGTCACTGACGACAGCTTGCACAGCGATACGGACGCCGGGGATTGCTCGGAGGATCCCGCCGAGATAAGTAGACCCCCGCTGATGGAGAACTCTGAGGATTCGGGCCGAGAGTGCAATAAATTGTGCAATATTTGGAGTCAAAAAATAATCAGGAGAAAAAGAGCCAGACTAGTGGCAAATAAAAAGCAACGCATCATGAATAAAAGAACGACAAAAGCCGAACTTTCAGAGGACGAAAGTGTGGAGAACCCTCATAAGAACCCTGCTATGAGGTGTGTTTCTCCCTCGAAGGATATCGAGGGAGAAAATAAGACATTTGTAAATTCTAGGAATCATAAACTAATAAATTCTTTACCTGGAAAGAAATCCATTCACCGGCAGCAAGCACCGGAAATTCTGCCGCAACTTGTTAAAGTTGCTTTGGAGAGGGAAGAAAATGTTGCCGGGTTCAGTGACAATATCGATAACGACATGTACGAGTGTGGACAGTACCTTGCTACGCAACGCCATGCTCCACCTTCGGGGTGAGTTTTTCATTCCTTTTACCTTGAAAAATATTTTTTCTTTCTTTGGTGCGAATTATAATAGTTAGTTAAATTAATATAAACTTACAGTCTGCATGCTGAGTTCAAAAAAGTACTGTATTGAGTGTTAAAGATTTCAGAAATTTGCAGGTTTTAACACGGTGCATAGCATTCTTAAAAAGTGCTTAAAGGTGCTTATTTTCGTTTTTTAAAAGCCCTTAAAGGTGCTTTTTTCATGAGGTGTATGTAAAAAGTGCTATTTATTTTTCTTCTTTACCATGTGGTTTTTAGCCACATATTATGCAAAAGCATACTTTTCACATTCAATTCGCTCTTGCGGAAAGAATTTTCCTTTGGGAAGTAAGAAACTTTATTTTTCTTTTCTGCAGAAATTTTTAAAAGTTTTTCTTTTCTTCAGAATTAAATTCAAAAGATGCTTTTCTCACACATTGGGGTGGGAAAAAAACGCCTTTTTCTGTTCTCATTTGTGAATAATGAAAAACAAGGAGTAATGAGGTAAAAAAGTTTTGGGGTTTTTTTTTTTCTGCAGAAATTTTTGTTCTATTTTTTTATGCAATTATTACTATTGGTTTCACATAGCTTTTAAAATCATATAGTTTTAATACTGTGTTTGTAATGTATCTACCACTACAAAAATACAATTCCGATTCACTAGTATATAAGACATGTTAACTCGATTCTATGGTGGGGTACCTTTTCATAGATGAAGGTTGACATTGTCGATAACTACTTGCTGATTCCCACATTGGCTCACTGATCCATAACATGTCTTATATACTAGGGAATTGGAATTATATTTTTGTATTTGTAGATACATTACAGAATTATTTATTACAACTGAATCTCAAAATGAAAACACGCATTTAGTAACCCCTTTCTGAAGAGTCCGATTTTGCCGTCGATCTTTTTTTTTCGCTAGTTACTGCTACGGATTTCATGATTTTTTTAAATGATGATTTACAAAAGACAGGAAAAGAAATTAGTGCAAAAAAATGCAAATGTTTCTTTAAATTAGAAACATGTATATTTGTTATTTTTAAAAGTATCCTGCAGAGAGATATTAGTATTAGAGAGGTATGTCACAGAAAGCCCGAAAAAATTCTACCATTGGGTATATGATGTGCTTTTTTTGACCGATATTTTTTGCATATAATTTTGTCTTCCTATTAGGGATGTAACAAATATTCGGTATTCGGCCCTTTTGCCGAATATTCGGCCTTGCCGAATACTGAAGTTATTCGGCCGAATAATGAAGTATATGCTATTATTAATTATTTAGATTTGTGAAAGCCTTATTGATATTTAAAATAGATATTTAAAATATCACAAAAAATACAACATATTGTTAAATTTATTTTAAAATATAGAAAGTTTAAAAAATAAATTTTTTTAATATTTATTTCATTTTTAATTTAAAATTTGAAAATTATTTCATTACAAAATTAAAATTTCAAAAGTGAAACTTTTTAAAAAGTTCTTAATTTTCTGAGTTTTAATAATTTTTCTGACAAAAAAGAAAGTTAAGAATACATTTAACAGTAGTAAGTAATGAGTTCTTATCTTAAATAAAATAGCATATAAATTACAAGTATAACTAAAACTAAATTATGCTATTATTAATTATTTAGATTTATAAAAGCCATATTGCCTTGTTATTGGCATCAAGATATTTAAATTATTACAAAAAATAAATCAAGTTGTTAAAATTTTTTTAAATATACAAAGATTAAAAAAGCAATTTTGTTAATATTTATTTCATTTTTAATTTAAAATTTGAAAATTACTTTAATTACAATCAAAAGAGAAATTTTTAAAAAGTAAGTATTCGGCCACCGAATATTCGGTATTCGGCCTAAAATTTGGCCGAATATTCGGTGTTTGGCTATTCGGCCCCATCACTATTCGTTACATCACTACTTCCTATGATGGGTATAAGTGTTTTGTTATATACCTGAGAGACATTTATTATGAAATTCGATGATTGGTATAAATATTTTAATTCCAGAGACTTTGTTGAGGACATCTTAAGCCCAGACGATGGGAGCTGCAACAGTTCGCACGTCAGTAACAAATCTGAGAAGAATCTTGCTGACTTTGATGGAGAAGAATCAGGCTGTGAAGATGAACTAGCGCAGCTTGCTCAAGTTCAACTTCATCCGATGGCTCAGAGACTTAATAACATGGCCTGCATGTACTCTCCCCAGATTCATGGTGGGAAACATTTTTTAGGTCATTCTGCAAGAGACAACTTGGGGAATCATTTCCAACTGGAGTCTGTGTGTGAATCAGGCCAAACACTTTTATGGGACATTTTGCAAGATGACAAAATTGTAATTACTCCTTTATTATTATTATTTTGGATAATTGTTGTGATAATATTCAAAGTAACAATGGGGAAAATTATCTTTAACTTATGATGATAAAGCCTGTTATTAGGGTCAACTGCTTGAGCTAAAAAAAGATTAAAGGAAAAAAAGAAAAAGGAATTTTTTTTATCTAAAGAGCATAGCTGCTAACTCTACTGCATTTTCCAGTAGACTACTGGATTTTGCTAGTTTCTCCTGGATTTTGTACACTTTAAAAAATTCCCTAAAGTGATAGTTTCCTAAGAAAAATCCCTATTGAGTGAGTTTCCTAAAAATCCATATTAAAGTAAAAATTTTGCACTGATTATTGCTTGCTTGAATATTTAAATAAGTATTGCTTATACATGACGAATCTAGCCTCATTTATAGATATCAGTTTTAAACTTATTTTTTATTCTAAAATGTTCAGTTTAATTTTATTCAGAACTTTTTTAAATTCCTATTAATATTCAAAATTATGAGTAAACATAATACGCAACATTTCAAGCATATTTAATGCCAATCATGACTGCAAAATATTGCATGTTTTACTTTTTTGATGACCATAAAAATCCCTAAAATTCCCTATCTGTAAAATATTTAGTATATTACACAACAATTATCATAAAATTTATATTATTTCTTAAAATCTACTGGATTTTTTCCTATCTATGTTGTTAGCTTTGTAAAAGATACATTATTAATTTCTTAAGTGTAAGTTCAAAGTACTTTTTGAAGTAAAAATTATTTTCTAGCAAAAGTTTTTAATTGCCATAAAATTTTGAAGCTACTTTTAATTTATTTTTTATTATCAGTTGAATGAGAATATATACAAATTAAAACAGTCTTTTACAAATTACACAACTCTTCTTTTAGACAAACCCATGTGAAATTCAAACATATATTTATATAAGAATTGCAGCTAAAATTTAAAATTTTAGAACAATTTGGAAGCTCAAAAAAACTTTTTGCATAAATATTTCCTAATTTAAAAATTCAGTTTCGTTGAATATTTATATTTCAAGTATTTTTGTTGGGTTCACATGATTTTGAGTTCATCCAGACTTAAATTCTTTTTTTTTCTTCTTAGGGTCAGCTGAGTGAGGGTCTTGCAGTTGAAGCAGAAAAAATTTTATGCAATCTCGTTTGTTGGTGTACTGACAAAATGATAAGAATGAAATTCATAGAAGGCTGCCTACAAAATATAGCAAATAATAGGTAAAAATTTATTCAGTTCATAAAATGAATGATTAGTTTTTTCAACCTTTCCTTAACCTTTTTATTTTCTCATTAGATCAGTCATCATGTCTATGCGTTTATTACCNTAAATTAATTAAAAAAATTCTTTTAACTATATTTGATCTTTTAACTATAATTCCTATTAATATTCAAAATTATGAGTAAACATAATACAAAACATTTCAAGCATATTTAATGCCAATCATGACTGCAAAATGTTGCATGTTTTATACTTTTGATGACCATAAAAATCCCTAAAATTCCCTATCTGTAAAATATTTAGTATATTATGCAACAATTATCATAAATTTATTTTATTTCGTAAAATCTACTGGATTTTTTCCTATCTGTGTTGTTAGCTATGAAAAAGATACATTATTAATTTCGTAAGTGTAAAGTTCAAAGTACTTTTTGAAGTAAAAAATTTTTTGCAGCAAAAGTTTTTAATTGCCATAAAATTTTGAAGCTACTTTTCAATTATTTTTTATTATCAGTTGAATGAGAATGTACACAAATTAAAACAGTCTTTTACAAATTACACAACTCTTCTTTTAGACAAACATATGTGTAATTCAAACGTATATTTATATGAAAATTGCCGTTATAGGTTAAAATTTTAGAACAATTTCGAGAACTCGAAAAACTTTTTGCATAAATATTTCCTAATTTAAAAATTCAGTTTCTTTGAATATTTAAATTTCAAGTTTCCTTTCTAAGTTTCACACGATTTTGAGTTCATCCAGACTTAAATTCTTTTTTTTTTAGGGTCAGCTAAGTGAGAGTCTTGCAGTTGAAGCAGAAAAAATTTATATGCAGTCTCGTTTGTTGGTGTACTGACAAAATGATAAGAATGAAATTCATAGAAGGCTGCCTACAAAATATATAGCAAATAATAGGTAAAAATTTATTCAGTTCATAAAATGAATGATTAGTTTTTTCAACCTTTCCTTAACCTTTTTATTTTCTCATTAGATCAGTCATCATGTCTATGCGTTTATTACCTAAGCTGTTCTCATCCATCCAGCAATTCAGAGGAAGCAGTGATACTCATTCAGTGACATTGTAAGCTTCTTAAACATTTTGCTACGTAAATTGATTTTTCACAAATATTCAAATTTGATGTTTATAGAAACTCATTCAACACTTATCCTTTCACTCCATGGCATAATCACAATGACATTGTCGCAGAACGTTACAGAGTTTCTTGCAGAAAGATTTTTCGTTTGTATTTTTATTATGAGAAATATTAAAAATAAAAGTTCAGATTTCTTTTCAGTAGAAATTTGCACGTGATATTTGAATCATGCATTTAAATAATCCCTTTTTGGCATGCGATTCGCACCTATAGTATCCTAAATCGATGCATTGTTTCCACTGTATTTTCGGCAGTTATTGATATTGATTTTTACCTGATTTTTAAATATTGCGATATATTTCAAGCAATATGAAAAATTAGAATCGAGCATTTGAGTATTTACTTTTTAAGGCAATGATTCTATCCAATTTTTGACAGTTATTGCTATTGATTTCTCCATAGTTTCTAAATCAGATATTTTTATGCGATTTTATTTATTACAACAACCTAATCTCGAAACAAAACACTCATTTGAGTAACCCTTTTTTTAGGAGTCCGATTCGCGTGATTTCGCCGCCGATCCTTCTCTGCAATTACTTCTTTATTTTTTCATGATTTTTAATTATTTTTTATTGTAATGATTATTTACAAAATGTGGAGAAGGAAATGATTTGTGCTTTTTTCCCCCCAACAATATGCGAGAGTATCACCCATAATATTAGAATGAAAAAATTATTACATGTTTAATTTCAATAAAATTATACAGTTTTTTTTTGTAAACACTGTGTTTTTGTTATTTTAAGTTAGTAACATATATGTTTGCTATTATTAAAAGTATCTTGCAGAAAGATATTAGTGCTAGATTGTCGCAGATAGCTAGGAAAAATTCTGCCACACGGTCCTTTCAGAGGTCATAAAATACCTATTACCATAGCACATATGTCCCGCAGTGGACTGATTGTTAAGGCACGGTTCCCAGCAGATCACCGAAGTCAAGCATCACTGGCTACTGTCAGTGTGCGGGTGGGTGATCACTTGGATCAGCCTGCGTAGGGACCGAGGGTGTGCAGTATTGGTCCTCGTTAAACTGTTCTACCGTAAAGTGCTCGACTTCGCGTGCAGGTTGTCGGGATATCGAAGCGGGGGTGCCATCCCCTCTGCAGAGGATCAAAATTGTGATGGCATGTCTTCGGATCATCCTCAGGGATGTTTCCCAGACTGTCGCCAATAGCCCATTGTGCAGCTCTAGTGCGACGTAAATGAACAACAACAACCATAGCACATATAATTACAGCAATACCAATAGTACATACATAGATCTTTATAAAATAAACCTTGAACTGCAAGAGCATCTTACAGAGTTTTGACTTGTACAAATCATTTAATATATCTTCAAACTTACCAGTTGAACATGGTAGCAATAGTAAAACAGATAAGTCATAAAATGATTTAAATAAATACTTAAAGACATAAAAATTTGCCTTTAAGTATTAGGGTGTGCCGTTATACAATGTTAAAAAATATCCAAAATAAAATAAAGCAATAGTTTAAAAAGTTGCTCTTATATTGCACAAATAAAATGGTATAAAGCCTTTTCTAATTAAAAGAAATCTTGGATGCTGTACTAGAGATTGAAAAATGGAAATCAGGTAGAAAAAAGAACATATTTACAGCTGTATGTAAAGAAGTATATGTACACCCTTGTGCAAATTAATTGAAACAAACTCAATAAATTCAGAAAACTAAGAGAAAATGCTATTTTATTTAAATTTATACAAACTCAAAAATTTTTAGTACATAATATGATTGAAACCAAAATTAAATAAAGATT